CATCAAAATTAAACGAAATAACATTTGAAATATATGAGTTTGCATGTAATGTATGAATATAATATACAAGTTTCACTTTTTAAATGGAATTACTGAAATAAATCTACTTTTTCATGATATTCTAATTTTATGACCAGCACCTGTATATCAGACTGAAAATTCAACATTAGGTTCAGAAGAAACAAAGACTTCCCGTTTTATTATCTGCGACTTTATTGGAAGCAGAACTGTTTGTGGCAATTTGACAAATGGTTAGGCAGTCTGTTACACTTTGAAAGCTTGTGATATAAAATATTTGAGAACATTATGCAAGTCTACCAAACAGAACTTTAAATCCACTCTCTGCAACATTTTACCTTATAAAAATAGGAAACTACTTCAGATTTAAGCAGCAGAACAAACACTGTGCCAGGCATTGTTTATGCTTTCATCTGATTCTYGGCTTATCTCTTTATTGTGTGCAAACAGATAAACAAAACATCGAAACACACATTTTAAATAGTTTCTATTCTTGTAACATGGTCCCACTTTGTTCATTCTGGTGGCTTCTTCTTGGCCTCCACGTCCTTCTTAAAGGCTTCAATTTTCTTGGCTATGTTGGGAACCTATAAGAAACAAAATGCATATTTTTAAAGTTAAAATATCCAGTTAAACGATGCTAATAATGGTTGAAAAATCACAACACTTTATGCATTATTTATTTCAAGACTTTGGATGTATTCAAAGTTCTCTGGTATGTTTTCTCAGATCTTTAGTCGAGATTTGAAGGCTGTTGAAATGTCAATGCTAGCTTGCTAATTGTTAGCTAATTAAATAAACAGTAAAAATTAGAAAAGTTAGGAAGACATGTTTTAAAAGCTCACTTCGTAGTTTTGAGCGAGGTACATCCCCACAATATTCCCCAGAGTAAAGCCAGCCTGAAAATGAACAAATATAAAATCCGTGAGTACAATATTTACCTTTAATGTAGAAGCAAAAGTCAACAAACACGTAAGCTAGTTAGAGTTTGAACTATTAGATTTTGGCAAAAAATAGACCGTCAACGTCAAACATAACTCACCAGAAACTGCAGCATGGTGGAATAATTAAAGTTACAAAAGATTCACCCTAAGAAAATAAACTAAAATTCCTCTAAAAAAAGTRTAAGGTAGTTTAGAAAGTTTAAAGATGTGCAATTAGCCAAACCAGTTGGCTAACGATAGCTGCTCGTCAACAAAAATGTGCGCATGCGCGAAAAAACGTGCTCTACGTGCGCTTTTGGGCAGTGTAGTCTTTTCCTCAACTTCAGCTCGTGACCGTTCCCAGTTAACGAACTACAACTCCCAGCTCGCCACGAAAATTTAAATCTACGGGCACAGCGGCGATGATGGTTCCGGGGAGACATTGAATGACTTTGGCTGCATCGCAATAAAAAATATATATATAAATTGTCAGTTTATTATAAATTGCAAAACCGATTATGGAGGCTCTTATCCCCGTAATAAATAAGCTCCAGGATGTATTCAACACCGTCGGGGCGGATATCATTCAGTTGCCGCAAATTGCAGTTGTGGGGACTCAGGTATGCTCTGCTTGTATTCATGCTAGTTGCTACATAACCTTGTTGTTTTATATTAATTGACTGAATACACATAAATATTAATAAATGTTTATTATATTCCAACTAATTTAATGATTCAGACTAAGTGAGGCTTATTTTAAATGAAGCTTAGCTGCTAATTTAGTCAGGCACTTGTATGGACATCTATATCATATGAATATTGGAGCTAAAAACAGGTCAGCTTGCATATTATTCAGTATTAGGTTGTGGTGATGCGAAATTAATTAAATGTAAGTGTTTTTATTTGTGTTTTCAGAGTAGTGGAAAGAGCTCTGTGCTGGAGAGCCTGGTGGGCAGAGACCTGCTGCCCCGTGGGACTGGTATTGTAACCAGGAGACCTCTCATCCTCCAACTGGTCCATGTAGATCCTGGAGATGCTAGGAAGATCGAGGATGGTGGTAGGTGCTCTTATAAGGCTTTTTTTTTTTCTGTTTGGGGGGTCTTCAAATGCCCAATTGCATTTTTGTTTATTTATTTATAGCCAATTCCAGTTAACATTTTTTTGTAAAGTTTTGATCACCAGTTTGAGTAAAAGGCTGAAATGACGCTCTTGGTGCTCTTGCAGCATGTTTTGTGAATGACTCTCAGCTTCTACTTTAAGTGAAGTACGGCTGTTGTTGTGTTTGATAAGGTCGATTAGATGTGGCAGATGAGCTGCCTGCAAAAACAAATGAACTGCAGATTCCTCAGAATTCACCCAGTGGTTCACGAGATATTTTCCCAACAGACAGAGCTGACTCCAACAGTTAAAAAAAATTTTTGCAAAGTGTTGCACTCAGACTATGTGTTGACGATGACTCTCACTTACTACCATGTTTGATTTTAGCTCAATATCTGTAAAATCAATTGATTTGTAGCCACTCTTGTGTTTAATGGCCATCTTTAAAGAGTAACTTACCCCAAAATTAACTTTTTTTTTTAGCTGATAAACTGTCTAGAATGTGTCTAAAATGTTATATAGTACTGTTTCTG